CATACTACAGCTTTAAAACATCTTTGATATCAGCTAGAAAGTTTCCAACATGCTGCATGGAGGGTCTGGAGCGTCCCACAGTTTAAGAATTGCATGGGAAAGGATTTCTCCTTAGGAAGATGGAAGTTTTGGAATAAAAAAGCCACATTTCAATTCCAAGTATTGCATGAAGTAGTTTGCAAAGAAGTCTTAGAAACAGTTCCTGGTGACAACCAAGGATTAAAGTTCTGGCTTCTCCCCACCATCTCAGAGCAGGACATGTTGCTCTGATCCCTCTCGTGTTCTGTCACAGGGTGCTTGATGTGTACTTCCCAAAAGAAACTCAACTACAGGAACAAGCTGTAGGATGAAATCTCATTTTGGAGTTTGAAATCTGTTTTTGCCTTTGAGAATTAGGGTCTGTCCATAAAATTACCATCAAAAGCCACACGGAAGCTGGTTGAATTTAAGCACGGCTTGGAACTGGAGAAGAAACATCCTGAATAGCCCTATTTTCCAAAACCCATATTCTTCGGTTATTCTGTGAATTATGAACAAACCAGAAAAGGTGACTAAAAATGACTAGCCTGATGTTCCTTTTACATCACAGATGCAAATAAAAAGTTTTCAATTCAGAAACTTCAATTTTTTTTTTTAAACACAGCACAGAAAAGTGAGCATAAGTCTTATGTTATCCTCAAGGAAATAACAGTAATGGGAAAAACATAACTTTTTTTTTTTAAAAAAAAACAAACCCTAATCCTTAAAAAAACAATTATTTGTTCTACACCCATAGAATGTAAATGTAAACAAGTGTTGTTGTTGGACTGAGGCTTATTAATTTAACGATTCCTCAGTAGCAACCCTAGTCCTAAGCAAATAAAGCCAGGACACAACACACTGGTGTAGTACCAGAAAGGCTTTACATAAAGTAGTATACCTATGGGATATTAAAAATGAAAAATAATAAAAAGGATTCCCCCCATCCAAACAAACAAAGTGGTCAGTATGACTTTTTTAAATCATGATTTTGAACTTTTACTGAAACAGGAACTTCCCAGAAAAGGTCATTTAGAAACATCATGCACTTTCCAGTTGAATCAGCCATTTTTCAGTTAAGTTCTGGAAATGCCTTTTACTCTCCAACAAGAGATATAGAGGAGGAGGGAAGGGGCCAGTGCAATTCTCCTTTAAAGTTAAAAATACCCCCACATGTCAGAAGAAAGGAAACAAAGAATCATTACCAGGACTTTTGTCAGCAAAGGAACACAAAGCCTGGAGAAGGTATACTGAAATGCCAGTGCATCTCTGAAACCAGTATAGGTATTTATGTGAGCACCTTGCAACCCCACAACTACATCAGGAGCCTCCGTTGTTTTGAGAGCACATACCTGGCACAGTCGTTCTAGCAGCGTACAGATCATTACAGCAGGATTTTACTGCTGTTCACAAGCAGTTTGATTTAAGCCCTTCATGTAACAGTAACACAAGGAGTTCCTGACACCCAGGCCGAAAAGTGTCTTACTCTTACCCTTTGCGTGTATCTCAAATTATGTTCTTATGTGGTCAATTAAACTATGTCTGACAAAATGCCTCACAGAAATAAGGAACTTACAAAAATAATACAGAAACAAAATTTAATTAGACTGAATTGATTTAAATTCATGGTATTTTTCCCAGAAAGCACAAAAGTTAACAGTGTGAATTTATTTGGAAATTAGACAAAAAAAAAACCTCCACCACTCAATAAAAACTTCTTCAAACAGAAAGGCTCACCGTGTTTCAGCCCTGTGGAAAAACTTACAGTTCCTTAATCTGCTGTGACTGTCAGTTTTCAGTTTTTGCCAATTATCTTAACATTACCTATTTTAACCACATGTCCAGCACAACCTATATTTAGACTGTTTGCTCAGTTCATTTGTGCCAGAAAGGAACAATCACATTATTTTCAATTACCAATACAATTGCCTTAATTTTAATTTGAAACAGTAAATGTAAGGCTAGACATTTCTATCCAATACACTGGGGATGCTTTTACTGAAAATACTTACTAAGGAAACAGAACTTGAGTTTATGCACATTTTGGCTGGTTATTTTATGTTAATATTCCACAAGATATGCATTTCATTTATAATACTTAAAACTACAAGCAGATTTTAAATTAATTTGTTCTCCAACACAGTTCTTATTGTGCAACTTTAACACACTCTGATTTTTTTTTTTGTATTTTCTCTCAAAATACAAACATAAAACCAAGCCAAGTAATACTGGTTATTGTTCTTCTAAGATAACAATCTTTTTTTTTAAAAAAAAAGTGCAAAAAATTACCCTCAACACACACCACAAACCCCAAATACTTAAACTACCGACTGTAATGTGGTATACAACCATCTTCTGAATATCAAGCACAACATATAAAAAGTACTTCACATCATTTTGCCAGCTGCAGAGGCCAAAGCAGTAGCAAATGCCACCAGTCCCACTGCTTTCGAACAGGGCAGGGAGTCCCACAGCCCTCCTTACACTCTTAATGCCATAGATTGACTAAAATTCAGCACCTATTTGGTATAAAAAATCTCAACTCAAAGCCAGATTCTGCTGTGTTAAGTGTCAGACAGGGAAACAAATGAAGCAGCAATCCATACTTTCAAGGGATTGCAGTTTAATTGAAGCACAGACAGATGATGTCTTAGGGACCAGGATAAGAACACAAATTCCATTTCAGAGGCCTATTTTGACATGAACTGATGGAGATCACTTAACTCTATTTAGCATCTATTTACTTACGCTGCACACTGTCTAGATCAGTCCAATTTCTGTCACCCTCAAAGTATTTTCAAGGTTTGGCTTTGCCTTTGTAGGCAGCCAAGAAACTTGTCTTTGTTTTAAGCTAACCTATTTAAGCTAAACCTATTTAAATAAACAAATGCCAAAAGGGCCCCCAGATTTAATTTACAGTGCATCATCACTTCTGCTGCTGCCTTAATTTTCTTCACCTGTGTCAGAACAACTTTTGTAATCCTCACTTTACAGCTTAGCTTTTCTGTACTTAAAAATCGCACCTGGTTTTAGGCCCCAGTCTGACACTTCTTTAAGTGACCGAGTCTCTCTTTTCATGTGAAGGAAGAAAACAAGTTCTGATAAATTCTATTAAGAAAACCATGTTTTCTAGTGTATGCCCTGTCATCCATATATTTGCCTGCAAGTTTGAGATTCACATTTGAAAATGATATGCTCCTTCTTAGTAACCTAAAAAGAATGCCTAGCCCCAAACGAAAAATAACATACCTCATTGTAATAGTGTCCAGAAACCAGACTCTGACTGCTACACTTGATGTAAAATGCAAAGAACTAAATTTGTAACAGAGTAATCCCATGAAACAGAGCAACTCTTAACCAAAAGACAGAAGAGCGGCTTTGGAGTGAATGACTGAAGGGTCCTGGTGGACAGTAAATTGAACAGAAATCAGCAGTGCACCCTTGCAGTGGTGATGGCTAACAAACAATGGGCTGTATTGGCAGAAGCATGGAGAGCAGGTCAAGGAAACTGATTACTTTCCTCTTTTCAGCAGTCACGAGATCACATCCACTGATCTCGTGTGCCCAAGTGTCCAGTTTTGGGTCCCCCGTTACACGACATAGTTGGGTAGATCAAGCAGAAGGCCACGAAGACAGTTAGAGGGCTAAAGCACATGATGTACAAGGAAGGGCTGAGGGAGCTATGTTTACTGAGTGTGGAGAAGAGGTGAATGCAACTGTTGTTTTCAACTAGCAAATGGGGTGATAAGAAATGGAGCCAGGTTCTTGCTGGTGGTGTGCCGTCAAATGACAAGGGGCACATTTTGCAGCAGAGGGAAGTCCTAATAAGTATACACAGGTGAAAAAAAAAAAGTGCTACAGCAAGGGCAGTCAAGCACTGGAAATGGCTGTGCAAAGTTAAGGGATTTCCATCTTTGGAGATGCTTAAGCCCCTTAGCGCAACCTTTCTGACTCCAAAGTCTTAGTTTAGCAGCAGACTAGACTAAGGAACCTCTGGACATCCTTTCCAATTTAGATTCTCCTGCAATTCAGTGCAGCACCCAGAAAATGAAAGCAGAACTTTCTGCATGGAAATCCTTTAAAGCGCTCCAAACAAATATTAATACCTTGTATCAGGCTAATAGTATATCTTCAGTGTACAGCAAGTATAACTAACACTAGGATTAAAACCCACACACTGTGCAGTCTTATACCATAACCCACTTAGCTACTTCTTCCTCAGCTGTTACGCTCCAGCCCTTTTCACTGCAGCCCCTGTCAAATCCCAGGATAACCTTTCAACTGCTCCATGCTCTCCACACTTCTCCTGGACTTCTCCAGGCCAGGCTCAATGGTTCTTGAGCCCTCCCAATCCCACTCTCACTCATTCATTTGATTAGCAAGCATCGCATCACATAACATTTCATGCAACTCCTGTAAAGTACTAGCAGTAATGGGACTTCCAGGCAGCACAGCTGCTTAAACTTATTTTGCACTTTCCCTTGCATTTGATAAAATATCATATAGTCAAGATTTCATAAAGTCAGTCATTTGCAAGTTATCCAGTCAGTTCCTGAGCCTGCTTTCTAATCTAAGAGACTGAAATCTAACAAACCAGGCAAATTTGGTCTTTGGTGTTCAATGCTTAACATCATGGGCAAAATTTTCCAAAAACTAGATGCCTGTGCTAACACAGCATGTTAAGAGAAGAGGGGTGGGGAAAGTCTCACATTTCAAAAATCAGCATAATAAAAAGTGTTCGTTTTGTTGTGGGTTTTTTCCCCATTAAAAAATGTGTATGAGAGGATCTCATTCACAGAAACAACATCAAAGCTCTTATATATGGCAGTACACATACAAACTTCATGAATCAGTGACACTTTTTTAAAATAGTTTCTGTATTTTACAGCTTAAAAATCTCTATTACAAATATTTCAAGGATATTTCAAGCAATTATAAAGTTATGTTAGATAATACCTCAGTATAAAAATAAAGAAAAAATGCAAACCAACACCTTTTTATTAGGTTTACTACTTCCCTGAATTCAAATTCATCCTGATGCAGAATTACAAGGAAGGAAGGAAGTCAGGAGACTTGATTTCCAGAACTACCAATCAATATAAAAGTAAAACCAGCGAGCTCTGCATAAATGTAGGATTCTCTTACACTGATTTCCACAGGAGAAAGGTATCCTACTGAATTCATCATAAATGAACCTGAAACAGTTTTTGATAAACCTCATGTAGTAACAGATCCAAGTGCCGGCAGTAACCTACACACTTATCTTGGGAAGTTTGCTGCAACTGCCTGTGCAATTCTAGAAACAGGTGAGAGCAAATAGCAAATAAGAACATACTGCCATTGCTCGATTCCCTGAAAAGTATCTTTGGAGCTTTTAATTTTTCTCCTGATCTGCCACGTAATTGAGAATATTTCTCTAAATTACTTTTTCATAGACTCACAGAATTATAGTTTTCCACCAGGACACGCAAGGATTTGTAAACAAGGACAGTGGTGTTATGCACAGACCTCAGGACTGCAAGAGCGCATTCTCATCACTGCCAACACTTAAATCTCAAAGTACGCTGTTTTTTACACTGATGCGACTTTCATGTTGTACCAAGCCAGAAGCATAAAAACATTAAATATAAAAAATTGCACTATTAACATGAAAACTTTTCTGCTTGATAAATTTTAGAAGTTCAAAACAGATTTATTTTTGGAAAATGTTATTCAATGAGGGAAACCTTAAAGTTCCTCGATGTTGCAAGTTGGACTTTTCTGTAGTGTCTCCTGATATGCAATGAATCTTCTCAAGTTCATCTTCACATTGTCAAGAACACACAGCTGATCTGTACTGTATTTTCCCTTGCCTTCTTTTCGTATCTGCAAAACCAAGAAATACACACTTTGTTAATGGAGAAGTTTCTCCTACTATATCACCTAAAGTTTACAGTAATTCTGTATGGTTCTTCTACAGACATGCTACAGATGCCTCTTGAGAACTTCAGTATGTTCACGTGTGCAAATGCATAGATAACACTTCTTTCTGCAGGTCAATTGACATTATACATCTCTGCTTAAAACTACACCATTGTTGGCATGCTATTTCATAATCTGAAACATACACTTAGTTTCTGTAGCTTTTTATCTGAAAGACCTTGCACGTAACTAAAAAAACAACTGTAGCACTGTCAGTTATGTATTTTGTGTGTACAGTGCTTAGCTTTAAGATTACTAAAGTAATTCCTTAGGCTTCATCTGACTAAAGAAACAACATATCAAAGGTCAATGTCTATTTAAGACAAGGATGTACTTACAATTATAGTTTAGAATTTTGGCCTTGTGATTCATGAAAACACAGAATACTTTATCTATTTTAATTAACCACCATCAGAACAAAAATGCCCACCGGCAGCTACAGCAAGTTATAACCAAAACATGTAACCTCAGAAGAGACTTCTCTCCCACCAGTTTAGCTGTACTCCTCCAGAGGCATCTGCAGGATTTTTTTTACAAGGGTTTCAGAACAATACAGTGATTTGGACATCAGTAATGCTGATGGTGTAATGCAGATGTTGCAATGCAGATGTTGTGCTGTTACCTTGATAGTTCCACGAACTTCAAGATAAGTGTATTTGCATTCTTCTAAAGAGGAATATCAGGAATTCAATTATGTGGGATTGTTGTTTGGGGTTGTTTCTTTTTAATATTCATCTTGTAAAGCCATACCTTCCTGCTTAAAGCTTCAACCAACACTGTGTTGAGACCCTGAGCTGGCTGCATTTGATGCTTACCCTCATTTTGAACACTGGCTGAAATTCTTTCAGTGCTGGAAGCAACCTGATCTCTACCGCTGCTTTTTCTGCTTGTTTACCATCTGCAAATACATCAAAAAGTGCATCCAAGGCTTCCCCTGCTACCACAAGAGAAGATTCCTTCATAGCAACCTCAAGAAGAAATTTTCCAATCACCTGAAATAAGAAAAAAAAATTTGTTTTTCCAGCAGTGCTTAAGAAAATTGAAAGAAGTATCAGAACTGGTTTAGGCTTGCAATGCCAATTTTGCTTTTTTACCTTTAGCGTTTCAGCTGTATCTTGTCCTTTTGCCAGGATGCTGCCAGAAATTCCAAGGATGCTCACTATATTCACTTTAACACTGGCATTGCTGCTGTCCATACCAGCTTCACATAAAGACAGTAGCTGCTCAGGAGTCATACACTGCTTAGCAAGGGAAGCATGGGGGGAGGGGGGGAGAAAAAAAAAAAAAAAAAAATGTAAAAAACCAGACACATTTACATTTCCATGGAAATTTTCAAATATGACATTTAGATAATTTGCAGAGTCCTGTATTATCAAAACGTGAATTCTGAAAATGTAATTAGCAAGAACACAGTTACACTCTCCCTTTCAAATTCTTAAGGTGTTTCTTCCAGAACATAACCAAGGCTGTCATGAATCTGAAGGAAAGTTCTGAGCCTAAAGGGATTTTCACAGATTTACCTAGCTCAATACCTATTTCTCCAACTCATTACAACATACAGAAACTCATTTTTCAGTTTACAGCCAGTAAAGGACCCACAGAACATCTAGTATTACATCCTGTATAATAAACTGTTATGCTTCATTCCTATATTTAGTTCATTAATTCATGTCCAACCAAGATTTTAGAAAGACAACCAGATTCAACCGGATGACTCAGGAAATAATCCACTTTTCTAGGTGCTAATTTACAAAATGCTTGTCATTATGTCCATCTTCTAAAGACAGCACCTGTGTCTCATTCCTATTTTGGTTTTGAAATACCTTTCATCTGTTTACATGTTAAGGAAGAGATACATAAAAAAATATACTCCTGTAAGGTCTATAAAAAGTATGAGAGTGAATGCTATTAAATCTGTTCTTTCAGTGTTCACAGTTGCTGAAATTTAGAATTTCAAATGGTCTTGTTTCAAAAACTTTCCAGCACAGTCTCACATGATTTTGTGCCTACCAGAGCATTTGAGTTTGAAAGCCTTTACCTGGGAGATGTTCTTTGATGCCATTGTTTGTAAGAGAGCCCTCAAAGCGCTAGTTATGGCTTCTAGGAATTCTGTGTCTGTAGGGAGTTCTGTCAAAGAATTGAACCCAGAGCCAAAAGTTAAACAGTAAGATGGAGGACATGAGAAGCAAAGAAATACAAATTTCTTAATTGTCCCTGCAGGGGACAAACAGGAAGAGCTAGATTTTCAGAGACTCGTCTTTGTAGGTTGTAACCACTGTGATTTGTTTGAATTCAGTATTAATTGCATCTGAAGGTTAGATCACAGATGGTCCTCATTTTCAGGTATATCCTTGGTTAAGACACTTGTGTGACACACATACGGCACAAACCACTGCCAGCAGAACAGAGGTTTGTAAACTGGTTATCACATGTAAGCCATCATACCAGAACTAAGAAAGCTACAGAAACTCTGTATTTTAATGCCTTTCTTCTGTTTCCTAAGCAGGCTTTTTAGGCACCCAGAATGCTGGACTCCTGCCAGTTCATATAAAGGGCATGTTTTCCAGTGGTTTAATAACCTTTCAGAAATGTATGACTCGTACACTGCATATTTCTTTTTTAACTACAAATTCATCAATACGAGCCATCATCTTCAATACATGTTCTGCATTTCCTGAAGCTTTTTCTTTCCCCCCAGTGTGTTCTTATTTTCTGGACCACTCCAGATGCAGAATCTCTTGATGATTTCACGCATATCTCCTCCCTTCCCATATATGCAACTAGATATTTATGCCTCTTTTTCACTCTGTAAACCACAGCATTTCTTCTAACCACATGTTGGTATGTTATCAACTCTATCTGGTAGTTTCCATTACATAGCATTTAACTATAAAAAAAAAATATTACGCTAACAAAAAGGCACCTGGGCCATTAAACTAATTTATTGGCACCCTTTGTCTTAAGGTAGCCACTTCTCCAGTTTCACCTAAGAACTGACTATTGCGAAGCATAACAGACCCTGAAATCTTGGAATTTCCCCTCTTTTAGCATGAGACAAATATTTCAGGTGAACTTCTTTGCATGTGTCTTCATATTTATTTTCATTTTCTGTATTTTAGTTTTTCAAGCACTATGCACTCAGTAATAATGTTCTCATAGACTGGTCACATGCTCTTAATGGCATTGAAAAAAAAAGAAAGCATGTTTTGCAGGCAGATGGATTTTCAGGCATTAATGCAGTATCATAGTATATGCTACAACAAAACAGAACTATATACACCTCATTTGTGGCTACAAATGAAGATACCTGAAGGAAGGAGAGAAAACTGAGCTTCTCAAGCTTGTAAGACCCGTGCCTATGCTAGACTACAAAAGAACTGTTTCCTAAATGTTTTCTGACAATTTTTAGAATTGAGCCGTCATCACTGACCTTAGAACAAAAACAGAGTATCAGAGTAGCCTGCATGGAGCAGCCTGCCAGGGAACTGGATCATCAGATTTAAACCAGGGTTTGGGTTTTTTTGCCTTTTTTTGAATCTCAGTTCAACTTCTCTAGTGCCAGTAACAAGGATCATAGCACAAATGGTCCAACAGTATTATTGGAATGATGCTGATCTCATGTAGATTACAGGAGGCAGCAGGAAATGCCAACTATCTACACTATCTTGATAGTGGACTATATACACTAAACTATCCAATAATACAAATACCATAGGATGTATGGGGAAACCACCACAAGTGTCCCTATGAAATAATAGGTCTTGGAAGAACTACAGTGGATGTATTCCAGTATTTACCAGGATGTATCTGATGTTCAAAAATAGTATTTTTAGGGAAACAAAATTTATTGCCTTCTCCATTGAACTCAAGCCACCACTGAACAGGAAGCTGAGCACCTTCAGTATTTAGTCATAAAAACTTTGCACATTTTCTTATTACAAATAAATTTCCAGTAAAGCTTTGCTATCATATGCATAAAGCACATCCTGGAGACAAGGCAGCTGCTCTATTTCCTACTGTCATAAGCATGTACATTCTAGAGATTTTTGCAACAACCTCCGTTGTCATAATTTCTTAAGATTAAAAAAAAAAAAAGTGAAAGACTGCTAGTTTCCCTGCCCCCCTGCCTATTTAGGCTAGTTAGCATACTTAAGAAGAAAACATCCCATCTTCTTCATGGCTTGTCTGATTGAGGAAAACCTGCTATTACCACAAATATGAGCAAGCAAACAGTTCAGGTCTCACAAGAAGGCAGAATTCATCCACTAACAGCAACTTACTGCATGCAAACAGATGTAGAGCAAATTCTTGCATTCGAAGCCTACTTGCCCAGGATGCAGTTTGGATAAACACATCTTATCAGGATACACTGTTTTGTCAGCAGTCTTCTGACATTCAGTATGCTTACTTTGAAATGCTGAAGGGATAAACTTACTAATAAAATGGCATTAAAACAGCACAATGTACACATCTGCCTTATATCTGTAAGTTTAAAGGGGGTCAGCAAGCCCCCTTTACTGAACATCTTACCCATTTTAGCAAAGACTAGCTGCAAGAGATGCTGTGCAATGGACTGAAGTGAAGCTCCTCCAAGACAATCCATGTCTGACACTAACAAAATGTTCTGAAGACATGTTAAAGCTCTACACTGCACTGCATTGAGTCTGAAACAAACAAACAAAGTATGCACTTAGGAGATCCCTTTGAACAGATGTTGAAATACAAGGAAACATCCTCAATTAAATAAGCCTGTGATATGGTATGCAGTTTACAGAAAGATTTGTATCTCTTCATGCAAAATTATGTATCAGATCTGCCATTGTTTACACCTTACAAGTAACTCGAAGATAGACAATCCTTCTGGGAATACTAAAACAACTGAATATACATGAAAAATAGTAAGAGAAACAATAAAATTCCTACTTTTTAATTAATGGTTTCCAGGATGGATTGTGCATACAGATATCTAGAGCAACACTATTCGGAAATGCAGTTTTTTCAAGAATCTGGGAAGGGAAAAAAAGAAAGGCTTAGCAATAGGGCTTTAGCTTAATGTAAAACAGATACTTCAAACTACATACGCCAAAGCTCCCCAGTCACTCAAATGGTACAATTATACACTAGGTTTGGTACAGATTGTTTTAAGTATCCAACTGTAAAAGGTGATTTTCTAGGTCTGTGCTAATCTTTTTTATTTCAATCTTTCTTTGTACAGATTCCACTACAGAATTTTCAGATAACCACAAGTCTAAAACACCAGCTATGAAACTTGGACTGCTTGCAAAAAGCCGTGAATGTTTTTATCTCACACCCTGACGACAAAGTAGAATTCTAGCATAATAACTGATGCAACTGATGATCTTCATCTTTACAACCCCAAAGATTGAGCAAAACTCTGAAACAAGAACATTTGAATTCCTGTCAGTGTCAAAAAATGTATTTCAGACACTATGTATGAAACAGGGGGAAGAACTTGCACTTATTCGGTGCTGACTGTTGCCACTCATGTAACACCAACCTCTTTAAGTTAACATGGAAATCTGGCAGTCACGCTTCTGCTGAAAGTTTCCTTTCTTTTAGCAAGTAATCTTTTTGATGCTCAAATCAATTTTCTATTCTAGAAAAGCCAAACTGAAAACACCACTCCCACCCTCAAAAAAAAAAAAGAACCTCAAACAATCAAAAATACTCTCAAACACAAACCACTAGATTTCTGAAACACACAAACCCTCTATTCCCATTTACATGAAGAAATTATTTATGTCAAGACAGCTCATCTATTGATGCTCCACCTCTAGGCCAAAAAAAGTGAAGCTAAACTGATTTTTTAAAACACTCCTTTTCTACAGATGGATTTTGATCATTTGTTTGCCTAACCTGGGACACAAATCAGACAGAAGAAAAGGCTGTACCATGTGCTGGAAACAAAAACCAATACCTTCTTTGGAATGAGATTGTTCATAAATGCTGAGTTAACCTCATCAGAGAGGCACAGAGGTGACATTAGCAGCCCACTCCCATCATTGTACAAGTTTTCCATAAAGTCACTTTCATCACTGCTGGAGAGTTCTTCCCATTCATCATCAGAGTGATCTGAGAAAAGATGTCAGATTTGTAATAGCATTCCCACAGTAGGTATCCTACTTCTCACTTACATCTCCTGGTTGAGTTCTTCACCTGTTGGTCAGGAGTCTTTAAGCTCTTGGGCTTTTCTGAGATTCATGCAAACCAACTGCCATTAATCCACAGTTCTAAATATTATACTACTTTCATTAAAATTTTTATTTTTTAAAAATATTCATTTTATATTTACTGAGGCAGCAAGCATGCTTACATGAGCGGTTCTTCATACAGAGGTACTTCATTCTCTTGTATTAATTATGCTGTACTTAAAGAAAGGTATAGAAGAAACATTCCATAAAACATTTACTAAGACTTTAATGGTACCATTTAACTTTTTGAGGTAGATTCAAGCATGCAAATACACAAGTTTAGCTTAACTTGTTTACTAACTGAAATAAGTTTTAGGCAACTGTTTTCTCTGGCAATAACTGAAGCCACAGAGAGATGTCCTTTGACTGAGCTGTAACTGAGTGGGATGAAGATGTTACTGTCTCCACAGCAAGGCCAGTTGAAAAAGGAAATGATGACAGCAAAACAAGCCAAAGCAAGCCAGATCATCACTGTTACCCCTTTCAGACAACCTATTTTAAGTAAAATAAACCTGAGCTAGGCTTATACTTATGTAATTTATTCTACTAACAGATCTGCAAGGGCAGACATGGTGAGAGAAGTTAAGGTCAATCACCAATGGGCACAGCTGCTGTAAAAGTGAGTAATCTGTCCATGGCTAAAAGCAGACCTGGCTTGGCAAGCACAAGCTAAGTCCACCATTTATATTTAAATTGATAAATCTACACACATAGGGTTTATACTGATGTATCTAAAGTTGTTTTAAACCTGGTTACATTTTAATTGGTGTGACACTGGTGTTTACACAAGTCACAGGTCTACAGGTCAGACAGATCCTCCTCCTTGACAGGTGAAAGCTCTGCCTGTGTACACAGGTCAGCACATTTAACTATGGAAAAAAACATCGTCTTCACCCCAAAGTGACTCTTTCTGGCAACACAGAGGCACATGAGATCTAGGTCCTGTAGTAACTGCAGTAACAGCCACATACGTTCTCGGCGGTAAAAGGTAAATTCATTCACTTAAAGCAAGAAAGGTCTAACCAAAGGCATTTCACCTGCACCACGCAGCAGCTTAAAAGTATTTGAAGACGATGACTGTTGTTTATCCAACACAAAGTAACTCATCAGGCTGTAACAACCTGATCACACAGACACCTTCTTTTGCTTCTGGAAATAACCAATTAATTCTAGTTATAATATGCTGTAAAAGAGCCAATAGCTTTTGCATGTGAAAACATTTGTCTTTTATGCTTTACCAACACACAGCAGCAACAAACATGAAAGCAAAGTGGACATCCCTCTTTCAGTTAGTCTTTTGCCTCCTACAAAAAAAAAAAATCCATCTCCATCTTTTCAAAACAAAGCAAAACTTTTCTTTGAAAATTAAAAGAGAACTATATGAACTGACCATGGAATTCAGCAACAACAAAGACAACAGCCATCGTATGTTCACAGTGGGTGACCAGGGCAGAGCAGAAACTGGGCTCTAGAACATTAGCCCACAGCCAAGACCAGATTTTTTGTAACTTTCTTGGAAATATAGAAGCATTTCCAATGACAATCCCACCTTAACTACTGCGGGTAGGGTAACCTACAACTTCAGACTGGAGAGCAACACTGGAGTCTCCTGGCTTCCCCCTCTTGTCACTGTTCAGGGATGAGCACTCCGCTTCTTCCAAATGCTGGCCAGCGTTCAGTAGAACACATCCCCTGCCAGCCTGGTTATTCCCCTCAATTCTGTGGCAAGTTGAGTGTTTCTATAAACTCAGCATAATGGATACAGCTATTTTAGTCCTCAAATAACTCAAAAATTAAATGAGCAGCTGCCTCTGGATTCCTCTTAATTTCTACAGACTATGTTTCTGCCTGCCTATGAATGGGTAAAGCACTGTGTTGAAATACAGCACAATCAACCTTACATTACACTGAGTGAATGGCAGAATATGCAGTTTACCCACAAGAGATTTTCCAATTAAAGGGGAGAGCTTATGAATTACAGCTCATTAGATGAGAAATGCAGTTACAAAAGAAGTTTCATATACTAGGTGCAGGAATTCCTTATGCTGTAAGAGGAGAAAAAAAAAATAAAAAAAATCTCACCATTGGGAATATCTGTGCATTGCTGTGGATTTTATTAGAACCTCAATGATTTACTCAGAAAATTCTCTCCTATGCAATTACTTTTGCATCAGACTTACAAACTGTAGCAGCAATTAATGTTTTCAGATTTTAGAGGGGGTTTTGAGGTGTCAGTTCTGTTTGGTGGTTCTTTTATTATTTTTTTTACAAAATTTGGAAATCACTCATTTGTTTTCTGGAGGATTAGGAGAAAAGCTATAAAAGAGAGTATCAGAGTTCACAGAAGATACAGAGTATCTAATTGTTACTCCCCCAAGAATGACAGCTTGCCTTTCTCCTCCGAAAAAAGCTCTTAAAGGTGGTACTCTGAACAGTCTAAATCTGCATTGCTGCCAGAGCTGCATGCAATGTCTCTCTTCCTTAAAAATATAGTATCTTTTTGATACTACAAGAAGTTTGATACTTCTATCAAAACGACAAGATTGATCTGCTTAAAAAAGTATCGATGCCCTCATCTTGCAATAACATTCACACCCATATTGTATCAGATGAACTCTCAGGCCACACTTTAAATGAACAAATATGCTGTAATACTTTTCTGGAAATACTTCTTCATCACAAGTTCTTTCTTGTTTGTTTTTAAATGATGGCACATGTAGTTTTATTTTACATGTAGCTTTCATTTTAAAGAAATAGGTAAGCAACAGAAAATACTTACATGAGAAAAACCCATACAATCTGATCTGACCCCAGTGAGGGTGTCAGGGACAGCAAGTCTGTGTGCATTTGCCCTTAAAAGCTAAGACCACCAAACAGCAAACTAAACACGACCTATTCCAGAAACAAAAGGAACTACAACACTTCCAATGAAAGAGATTCCTACAAACCTTCACTGCAGCACATATTAACAATGATTTCCAGAGCAGTCTGCTGAGCCATCAGTAAAGCTGTCACTTCTTTCAGTTCCCGTTGATCAGGCTAAAAGGTAAAAACATGAACCGAATTTAATTTTGTAAAACAACATTTCAGTGCAATTTAAAGCACCCAAACTGACAGCTAAAAATTCAATCCTGCTGTTTCCTCTTCTCATTCTACATGAAAATGTGAAAAAACAAAACCAGCAAAACCAAGAGGCATTATCTATTAACTTTCTGTTGAACGCTTCAGAACAAATTTTGTTGTCAAGAAATGCCACCTGCACTAAAGCTGTAACAGAAAAGATTACCTAATATTAGCTAAATCCTGACCAGAAACATGTAATTCTGTTATTCTTTTCAGGTACATCATAGTGAATGCATTTGTTAACCTCCAGGCCATCTCCACTCATGACTGAATGGTTACAACCAATAAACATCTCACGCCACATGCAGAAATCAGGACTCCCTGCGGTGGCTAGAGGTAAAAGCCTCAGATAAATATATACCTTCCACTACAGGAAACAAATGGAAACATGCTTTCCTCGTGTACTGTGCAACTTGATCACACTGGAACAAGTTGTGCTGGAATTCTCCACACTTGCCTTTGAAGTTTTAGCTACATTAGGCAAGCTGTTTGGGAGCTAGGATTAGTAACACTCTCTATGATAGCTTACTCTAGCTAAGACTGCCTCAAGACGAGTCAGATGGCCAGCCAAACACTCTTAAAGCTATCCAAGAGCCAGGCAGACACACTTACTGGAAGGAAATCAGAAATGTCATTTTCTCCCTTTTTGACTTTTCCTTTTGGTATTTCTTCCAAGTCATAATCTTCACTCAAAACACAGTTTTCTGTAACATCACTCATGTTTTCCTCTGTTTCTCTCTCCACAGCAAGTTTTAACCTGTTTTTTTCAGCTTCTTTCATACGAATAATTGTTTCACCAGCATCTATTGCTAATGATTCTGAAAAAATCTTCAGGATTGCATTAATTATGCTTCCCAGGCTGCCTGGTGGAATTGTACCCTTGATATTCCAGACAATGCCTAAACATGAGATAGTTGAAATATAAAAATTAGTAAAATACTCAATTCCCAGCTCTGCAATATCCATGTATTTTCTAAGGACACAGCCTCCACTACTCAATAATACCCAGTGCTTATACTTCAGTAGGAATTTTCAAGTCCTTTCTTTAAAGACTTGTATTTTTTTCTGTTTAACATTTCACATACTTACCTTTAAAAACAATGTTAGGCCCAAATCTTAAGTAGATTTCAGCATGTAAGTATACACAGAGTATTTATGGGGAGCCACCCTGGTGCCACATTTTAGATATGATAATAAATCCACATGAAATAACCATTTTCCAAGGATTCTCAGAATTAATTTATTACACTCCGGTATCAAAAATCACCATGGTTGAGCATTTGAGGTAGAAAGAAGAATGAAAGGTAGAGAGCTTTAGGTAAAAATCCACAGCTATTAAGATCAAAACAAGTCCTATTCTACTTGACTCTAACTTGAAAAACAAAGGAACAGTTAAAATGCATTATCATGCTGAATTCAGAATCTAGCATTTAAGACCATTTTAAAAACAGTTGTAAATACCTGGTCACTACAAAACACAAGCCCAAAAGGCAGAAATAACCTCATGAACCATCTATACAGGCTTTGACCAACAGCGGACTATAGCTTAGAATACTAAGCCTTTTGTCCTTCCCACCCTCCTTTAGCTGCCATCACAAAGCAGTGAATGCCCTCCAGCATTGTACCTGCTGTGAGTGTTCTCAGAAGGATGTGCTTCATTGTGCTCTCTGGACACAACATCACTGCTTCTAACACTTGTTGTGAAGAAGCATTAAACGAAGAAAGAAGATCTGGATTATCTTCTGTCACTGCCTGTAAGCAGTTTGCTGCAGCAAACAAGAAAGATAATTAACAAACCCAACAGTAGCTTTCACTCTCTTAATGAGAAAGCATTATTTTCTGGCAAGTTGGAGTAATGAAACACAGAGACAGGAAAAAACACTTCAGACAGCATCATGTTGTAACGGTATGACACTGTCTTTCACAAACTGTGTTTTAGATTAAAGACATTCTATGGCAAACCTGTACATAAAACAGGTGAGGGCAGTACCACATTAGACATGGAACTAGCTGTGCAACCACATACAGGTGTAAGACCCCTGTGAGACTATATATATATAAGACTATAATAGCAATAATACTAATAAAACCACATTGAAAGTGATAGAAGTTGTTTAGATATTTTTAGATGGACTATGTCCTTTGCTCTACAAAAACCTATTAAACCATTCGCTACCAAACCCAGAAAACAAATTTAAAAACACATCTTCTATCTAGGGCTTTCTTTCCACAATTTCTTTCAGTCCCATGTAACCACCAATAAGCCATTCTTCTCTGGACTGAAAAAAAGCACAACAGTTGTCTACTTCTGGCTGATGTGCTGTTCAGAAAGTCTTATATTCAGCGTAAATTTATGTAACTACAGTTCAAGTAACACTAAGGCAGGTACATTATAAAATGGATGTGACATCAGTGCTACATTTATATAGTAGAAAGAAAAAAAAAATATATCTTTAAATCTTTATCTTTTTACCACTTACCTGCTGAAACAGCCAGATCCACATTTGTAGAAAATTTTTTCATGTAACGTAACACAGCCTCCAGACATCCTTCCTTGTTGAATATGTGTACTGCGGTACTGCTGCATTCACTAATGCATAAGAAAGATTAATAAAACACTTTTCCCATGAAAAAAAATCCTGTAACAATGTTTTAAGTAACATGTACTCGTTATTCTCACATTCTAAAAACCCACCTAAGAATTATGCATGACTCCAAAAGCTACTCTTCATTACTGCAGTTATGATCAACTCCATAGAAAATGGAGAAAGCAAAGCAGCAATAACCTGGGCACTTTTGAGGAAAGTTGGCTCTGCCATCTGCTTCCTCACACACAGTATTCCGGAGTTCATTTGGCAGCCCAAGTACAGTCTCCTGCAGACAGAGCCAGCCAGAGGGTGAAAGGCAGCTTATAGCTGCAGGCTACAGGCCAGCCCAGGGCTTTCTGCATCCATGGAAGGCTTCACCCACAGAAGCACTGACAATAGAGCAGGCTGTTGCCTCCAATATCAATATTCACTTACTCCAGGAAATGACTGCTCTTAACATTTCAAAATGGATGTTAAATCAATGCTAAATGTGGCATTTACTTTAATTATCTAACACTGGGATTTGTGCTGCTTCAAGTTCTCACAGCTATTCCCATTTTTAAACTAATTATCAATAAAAGACAAATTCAAACTAAAAAACACATGGGACCTAACTAGCTACAAGGGTCTTTAAAAATTTACTTTTGAATACATTGTCTCTGCATCAATGCCAGCCCAAATTTGATCAGTACCAAACTCAGCAATGAAGTCAGCAGTTCATGGTCATTGCAAAAAAAGTTCAAAATACAGAAGTGATTTATAGCACACTTAATGATTATAGTTCCTGTTCCAAAGCACTTATGTCTGCAAAAGCAATTAAAAAAAAAACACAAAACATTGTTGAGTCAGTTACAAAGGGTCATGTATTCTGTGCAAGGTGCTGAGCAAGCAGTTTCTATACTGTTCTAGATTCCAATTCCCCCCCCCTCCAAAAAAAAAAACAATGTACAAATAAGGCCTCAAGCCAGCAGCCATGCCATAAACACAGACGCAGCTGCAGCTGCATTGCAACACTGTACAGTAAAATTCTGTACAGACCAAAGAGTATAATGACATGAAGCTGTTACAAAACAAGGAGAAACAATACAAATTCCAAGAACTTTCAGAACTGGTATGTAGCACTTCAACGCTTATAGCCATTTCTGTATTGACAGTATTGCCATTTCTCTTCCTTCACTTGGTGTTTTCAATGTAAACTACTAAGTGAACTATTCACATTCTTTCTCACTTAATTATATAGATTTGTAGCAGTGTCTCAGGCACTAAGGGATAGTTTGTCCAAACATTTAATATTAACTTTAGGGATGACCTGCAGAGGGAGGAAGTAGTACAAAACCTCCTCATATTCCCAGAGCACTAGAGCCCAATAATCAGAATTTAATTTCCTCTGTCTCCCATATCATAATAAGGATCTACAGTAACTGCATGGAAGACCCCACAACCCAAAAACTGTACAGTAGATTTACAGAACACAATCAGAAGACAGTGTCAGAACTTCGTACGAAAAAACAATGGGAAAGGGAAATAATGTCACTCCTACAACTAATGACCAACTTTGTGCATTTTTAGAATCCTTCATCTACAAAAGTAACTTACAGTAGAAGATAAAGCTGTATTTCAGATCAGATGAGCGTTTGCCATTTATTAAGGAGGAAAAGCGTAGGAGCAACACAGTCAAAAACCAGAATCAGCAACTGAATACTTCTTCACATGCAAGGACAGTCATTTAATTTCTGCCTCCCTTACCATGCTCTTTTTTAGGAACAATTTAATTTAGCTCTTTCAAAAGGCCAGTGTTTACCTAGTACTTACCATATATTCCACAGCAAATTAATAGCCTCGTTGGCTATGTCTTCAATATAGTTTTTGTCCATCTCTATGCGCTTCTCTGGAGACAGCTGGTTAGCATCCAGTCCAGTGCTGCACTACAGCCAAACAAGAGAACTAAGGTTGGGCAACAAACAAACCAAGAAGCAAAACCTTGAAATATTAGCAGCAGAGTGAATGGAGAGATCTCTCGACTGTTTATTGCCAGAAAACCAGACCAGTTTCCTATTCTCTATGAAAACTGAGCCACAATGGAACTAAATTTTCTTACGTTGTAGAAAGACTCTGTCAGTACTTGCTTTGCATTCAATAACCTTCAGAATGTTTTTTTTAATAAAGACTTAGCAATATTAGAATATGAAGTGCTGTTTCTTGCTAATACAGACTGTAAGCAACTTTCACCAGTTCTTTCTAATCACAAAAGTTAATTCGGCTAACAGCTTGCTGTGCTTTACAATAATGCTATTACTCAAAATTTAAAATGGGGAAGAAACATACAGAAAATAATGATACTGCTCACGGCTGCTCATACACAGGCAGCAGGTGACAGAACTCAATGCAATTGCCAACCTGCACTGCAACACCTCGATAAAACAAAGAATACGTATTCAGTACAGATTATTCTACAACAGCAGTAACTACCCAACTGTAAATCCAAGATGTCAGTAGACAAAAGTGCTTGCAAAAATACCCTCACTAGAATAATGTTGCAATATAAATGTTGGATCTGGATCTTCACTGACAAAAAAAGATTTGTCTTCACTGACGTTCCAGACCCAAAATCACTCCACCACTCATGCAAAAATCATCCTGGAGAGCAAACCTTAGTGCAGATCCAAGACAGCAGGTCAAGAGGCAAAATCAAGTGGTCTGAAATCTCTGGAATACTTTTTGTCCTATTAAACCTACTGAAACATTCTTTTAAAAGATCTCTCAAATATCCTATTGTGGGAATAGCTATAAAAATTCAATTATTTTTGAAAATGGGATAACTTAATGACTAAATCAGTTTTAAAGTTGGAATAAAACAAAACACACCTCTTTCAGAAGCGCAACAAGGGGTGTCATGATGTCTTTTGACACCATGTCATCACAGACTTCAAATCCCCCACAGGCACTCAGATTTCTGGAAAAAAAAAACCACAAAAAAAAAACAACCCAAAAATGCTTTGATAAGGTACAATACTTTGCACGAATATTAAAAAAAGAAAAAACAAAACACCATGCATTCAATATTCTTCTCTAAAGGTTATGGTACTTTTCATTTTAATGTCAATCTGCTTAATCAGTAACTTTAATTTTCTACCCTCTTAGCATAAAAGAATTAAAAGAATAACTTTGGTGTTAGGGAAAAAAATTACTTTCACTTACCTGTTTAGCATAACCAGAAAAATTAGCTGCACTAACACGACTTCTGTCAAATACTACTCAAGTGTAAGACATAACATGAATGTTAACAGGTATTAGCATTAAATTTTTGTATAAATAAAGCACGCTGCAGGTTTGACTGCAGAATAGAAGCTCAAAATTATACTGTTCAATATTTACAGGTTTCTCTAAAACACAGCTCTGTGCATTTCCTAACTAATTGATACAGGGTTACCAAGACACAAAATGCCATACTAACAGCATTCAAGTTCTCTGTATTTCTTCATACCACTAGCGATTTTTTTTTTCTTAACATAAGGATGAAAAGCAAAACATTCTACTAGGAGTAGATAAAATTGTAATAACTAATCCAAACTCTGCTCCTGCTATTAAAATTTCATGACAGCCTATTGGAGCAAGAAAATCTGCTCCCTCAGGGATTTCAATTGACATGGGTATATTTACTCAAAATGGAGTTAAAGCAAGAGAGGCTGGCATTCAAATTCACAGCTTTTAACAGGAAAACCCCTCTCTTTTCCATGCCAGGAGTACCTCATTCTAACCAAATACTAGCAACTGCATACCGGAGGGCACCTGCAGCTGTCTCGCGAACAGCTAAACTGTAATCCATCAACAAGGGTCCTAAACAACGGACCACATCTCTCTGCAGGAAGGCTGGGATTGCCTGGTGTTCCTGCAACAGCTTGGAAATACTGGCACAGGCATACTCTCTCACTTCAGCACTTGGATGCTGCACCTGGGGAGACACAAACAGGGCAGATTAGGGGCAAGGGAAAAGGTAGCTGGAAGTTTTTATTGAGTGAAAAGACAGATCTGCCTTTTGATTTGCATGCCCAGGACTGCAGCTCCTCTTTTACTGCTCTGGAATGGAATTAAGAGCTTTTAACTTCCATGGAAGTTTATGTATCTTTCCCTGGGTTATGTGTGTAGGACCAGACAAATACTGTTCTGGGTGTCTAACAAGAGAGCTGCAGTTCAGACACAGATTTGACACTAGCTGTCCCTGGTGAGACCTCATAGCTACTTCTAATTACAATGTTTAAAAAATTTTGAAAAGGACAGAAGTGGAGACAAAAATACCATCGAGGAAATATAACAGACAAAATATACCACCTTACACGAAAACTGAAGAATCAAAAAATACAAACAAAGCATGACAGCCTTTAGACTAAAAACACCTGCCCCAAGTCAAGGAGCAAGAATTCTCTACATTCTCACAACACTGCCTTGTGCTGTAAGAGGTTTAGGTACATGCAAAAATCACAAACCATAAAAATAAAAGGATGTCAGAAGTGCCTGTCCTGGGAGGACATGGAGCTTGTCAAAAACCCAACAGAAAAGACAAATGCTGCTGAACAGCAGACTGGCAAAGAGTGGTACCTCACAACCTGCCTCACTGAAACCCCGGTCTCTGCAGTCATCCTCACCTGTGCATTTGTGTAATCTTTTTACTCTCCCTCTTTCTTCTTTTCTTTATAAGATTAAATAGGCTAGTCCAGAGGAATAATTAAGCAGTGATTTGTTCAATGAGTTCATTTAGTGAACACAGGGTATTTAGTTCCTTAAAGGAAAATAGATTTTTACTGTAGATTCTAATGTCACATGTGCAGAAGGAGGTTTACACTAGCTTTTATCTGTAGCACTCTCCAGTCGGGCAGACTGAACCCAACACTGCAAGAACTCCTTCAAAGCCTCTCCTGGGACGAGGAGCTCGGAGTAGTCTCCCTAGACCAGTCAGGAAAGCCAGAACGAGAGCCCGGTCGGAGTGCCGAGCCCGGAGGCGGCAGCTGCCGGCCAGCCGGGGACAGGGCCGCCGCCGCCACCGCCCCTCCACTCGAGCCGCTGCGGGCGCAGCCCTAACACCGGGGAAGCGACGCAGCAGCGGGGGAACGAGCCGCACAGCTCCCTCCCGCACCCGACAGCAGAAAGGCCGCACCGCATCCAAGAGCGGACAGGCCGCACCGCATCCAGGTCCTCGACCCCGCCAGGAAAGCCTGAGACCAGTCCCCCCCCCCCCCCGGCGGCGGAGGAGCACAACCCTCGCCGCCCACGCAGCCTCATCGGGTCGGGCCGCGGCTGACTGGCGCCCCGTTCCCAAGCTGGGGTCGCGCCGAACTCGCCCTGCCGGCGGCCGGCCGCGATTTTCGCCCGCACCTTCTCCAGCAGCTCCGCGGCCGGCTCCTCGTCCGGGTCGTCCTCCTCGTCGCAGCGCTGCTCCAGGCCGGTAGGAGAGAAGGAGATCTGCCGGAACCGCCTCCCCCGGCTCTTCCCCATGGCTCTCCGCTCCCCACGCGCCTCAGCGCCGGCGCACCCACGTGCCGGCCCTGCGCAGGCGCAGCCCGGCTGCCCGCCCACAGCAGGGAGGTGCCCGGCTATAGATAGGGCCACGAGGCGACGATAGCCCTGGCACAGGGCTCGGCCAGAAGATGGGGCAGCGCCGCTGCAAGAACAGCACTACGGCAGCCCCATAACCCTGGCACTAAGAGCATGCTTCTGGCTTTTTGGGTTTTAAGCAGGAGGTGTCAGAAAAGTTACCACAGGGATAACTAGCTTGTGGCGGCCAAGCAGCATTCATAGCAAAGTCGCTTTTTGATCCTTCGATGTCAGCTCTTGCTATCATTGTGAAGCAGAATTCACCAAGCGTTGGACTGTTCACCCACTAATTGGGAATGTGAGCTGAGTTTAGACCTTTGTGAGACAGGTTAGTTTTACCCTACTGATGATGTGTTGTTGCAATAGTAATCCTGCTCACTACGAGAGGAACCGCAGGTTCAGACCCCTGGTGCATGCGCTTGGCTGAGGAGCCACTGGTGCAAGGCTACCATCTGCGAGCTTATGACTTAACGCCTCTAAGTCAGAATCCCACCTAGACATAGTGATACTCCTAGGAGAAGGAAAACTCTTAACTTCAGACCCGGACAGATGGAGCTCATCTAGCCTTGTAAGGCAGTCCGTCGAAGAGAAGGACATTCTAACTAAACCTATGACCTGAGGACTTTGCTGTCACCGTCCAAGCTACCTAGGCCCTGGCAGATAAACCTCAAGCGTAAAGGGTGGGACCAGTTCTGTGCACACTGTGCCTCATCTAAAAAATCCACTGCACAGGCCTGAAGGATTTACTCACACTTGCAAAGCCCTGTAACAACACAGGAGGTGGTGGTAAGGTGCAATGGAAGCTGCAGACTCAACCCTACACGCAGGTGGTTCAGGACATTGGTCGCTCGAGATTGACCCAGGAAATGACAGTCTTGTTTGGAAACATCCTGAATGACCAAGCAGCCTTTTTTCCAACTGGATTTGCCTATCCCACATTGCCCTTTTAGTCCTCATCGTACTTGTAGTAAGCGGGGGTAAAGCCCTTCCCAAATCTTCATTCGCAAAGCCAAGCCATCAAGAGCATCCGCATATGCGTTCAGGGCCATGATGGCTACTCTGCACACTTCCCTAGGTCAAAAACTCTGAACAAAGTAAATGCTGAATAAACCATTTCCTCTGAGAGCACTTAGAGAGGCAGGATTGACCTGGACAGTGGAAAACTGGAAGGACTTTCTTTCTGGTGTCAGTATCGTACACTTCATATCGTATACTGAATACAGGAAATGTTGGTCCAGTATGAAAGTTACAGACTTCAGCTATAAAATCCCAAAGCTCTTCTGCATTCAAGATCTGTATCTGCGCAGTACAAAAAATAACAGCTGTTTATACAAACAATTTATTTTATACATATTGACCTACAAAATATACACCAGTTAAAAATAATAGATGGGCAGAAGGGAAAAATTACAGGATACAATTCTGATACAACTGACATGGTTACATCCATAGGCTGCCTTTAAAAGCCGGTCTAGCTTGTAGTAGGTGTTACTAAGTTGCAACAGCTTTGCAGTTTTAGTCCATTAGAAGAGTTTGAAACCATTAAAAAGGCACCTTGAACAGGCTAAAACTCTTTCCAATTTAGCTATTCAGAAGTTGCACTTTATGCACATGACATCCACATCTTGCTTTTAACACTCAATAATAAAATATTTTATTGTGGCACTCTATTTTCTACACCAAATCTGAAGTCACACATTTTTCAATACTAGTTTCATATTGGACTATCATTGCATAAAAATCCTCTCAGAATGGTCACATGGACTTCAGATACAGTACAGATACAGTCTGTGCCACAAGCATATTTAAGGTACTAAAATCTGAAAAGATCAGTGTTGTGAACCAGATCACACCATTAACTACGTATGATCACAACAGAACTGGCTGGTGCACTACATACGCAGACAGACAAATGTGATCATTGATGCAGCTGCAGTTCTTAAAACAGTGAGACCAGTTTTCTCCAGGACAGACAGTCTTTCCGCAGTCCTTTAACCGGTTCCAAAAAGAATGACCAGGAGACAAGGACAGCTGTAATGAGTAAGTGTGCTAATGAAACATCATGGGAATGGTAAGTGTTCTTATCGATACTGTTCATGAGAACAAAAAAATCCATACAGCAGGTATTACTTCTTTTCCTGAACACTGGCATCCATCTGCTATTTACAATAGCTTACAAAGACACGTAACACACATGAGGTTTGATTTTCAAGTTCAACTTCATAGCTGATTAACAATACTTCACCTGTATGTTCTCCTCTAGCTGAAGTAAAAAAAGTGACACTAATACCGAAAAGGAGGTAATCAGAAGTAGCAAAAGCACTGATAATATGATAACAAAGAATTTGGATAAGTATTCAAGAAATAATATTGCACACTTTCACTGTCAACTGTGTAAGACAGTTTCACTGTCAACTGTGTAAGACTCCCAGGCAGCGACAACCAGTCCCATTTTGTTTTTGTTGTCACACTACCTTAAAAAGGTCATTTTTGGTTTCCATGGCAGTGGAAAAAAATGAAGGAAGACAGCCCTTATTGAACATGAGGCCTAGGTTTCAAAATTAATTTTCCAGTCTGCAAGACAGAAAAAAAAAGTTAAGTTTAGACCCTGAAAGTTGAGCCCAAGCTCAATTTCACAAGCTAAGTTTAGAATGACACACAGAACAATACTAATTATTCTACATTCCAGTTTTGCAGATACACAGAATTTATGAAAGTGTATTCACAGAATCACAGAGTGGTTTGGGTTGGAAGGGACCTTAAAGCTCCTCCATTTCCACCTCCCTGCCATGGGCAGGGACACCTTCCACTAAACCAGGCTGCTCCAAGCCCTGTCCAACCTGGCTTTGAACACTGCCAGGGATGGAGCACCCACAGCTTTGGGCAACTCTGTGCCAGGGCCTCACCACCCTTATAGTAAGGAATTTCTTCCTAACATTGTCCTGGGTTCAGCAGTAGCAGTCATGTTTCTCCTTGTTGGTAGCTGGTGCAGTGCAGTGTTTTGACTTTCGGCTCGGGAACAGAGCTGATAACAGGGATGTTTTGGTTTGGCCAAGGACTTTGTGAGCCTCACGCTCTGCCGGGGAGGAGGGGAAGCTGGGAGGAAGCAGAGACAGGACACCTGACCCAAACTGACCAAAGAGGTATTCCATACCACAGCACGTCATGCCCAGGATGTAACTGGAGAGTTAGCCCCGGAAGGGCTGGGAGACTGCGGGGTTGGAGGAGGTATGGGTCAGAGCTTGGTCGGGCTGGGAGACTGCGGGGTTGGAGGAGGTATGGGTCAGAGCTTGGTCGGGCTGGGGGGGGCGAGTTATCGGTCGGCTGGTGGTGAGATGATGTATTCTCTTCCCTTGTTATTTCCTTTATCATTATTATCATTGGTGGTAGCAGTAGTGATTTGTGTTATACCTTAGATACTAAACTGTTCTTATCTCAACCCGTGGGATTTGCAGTCTTTTCGATTCTCCTCTCCGTCCCTCCGAGAGCAGGGGGAGGGCAAGAAAGGGGGGGAAGTGAGCAAACGAGTTACCTGACTGGGTTTAAACCACGACAGTTCTTTTTTGGCGCCCAACGTGGGGCACGAAGGGTTGAGATAACGACAGTTCTTTTTGGCGCCCAACATGGGGCTCGAGGGGTTGAGATAAGAACAGATCTGACTGGATTAACAGTCACTCATCACAATGACGATTTATTGGCTCTCAGAGTTGTTTCTCTTGATCTCATAGCTTCAGAATGTTGTAACTTACGTAGAGCCGGTATTTGCTGTGTTAGTGTTTATCAAGTGTGGGGCCTGGGCTAAGGTTCTTGTCTCACTGTGCTTTATGGCAACGGCTTGTAATACGGGTGGGCCCATGGCACAGGGCGGGACAGACGTGGCCGTGGACCTGTACCTGGCCATCCGGCTGCTCTTCACCGTCCTGGCCCTCACCCTACTCTCCATCTTCGTGAGGCTGCGGGGAGCCGAGGGGGAGCGGCCCCGGGAGCCGGCGGCAGCCGAACCGGCCCGGGAGAGCGGCCCCGGGGACCAAGCGGCGGCGGGAGCGGGGCCGGAGGCCGCGAGGGGACGGCTGCCAGTGGAGGAGGTCGGGGCGGTCAAGGAGAGGAAGGAGGCGGCTGCCGAGCAGCGGGAGAAGGCGGCGGAGGAGCCGAGCCCCGCGGAGGAGCCGAGCCCCGCGACGGCCGAGAGCATTCCCCGGAAGCCGCCCGCCGAGCCCCAGGAGGATGCAGGAGACCACGCAGCATTTCCCAGCAAGGCAGAGGAGGAAGATCTGGACTCAGGAAAAGAGAAGCTGGCGGTGGGAGAGCCGGCAAGTACAGCAGCTACATCAGCCCCAGTGACAAGTACAGCAGCATCGTTTGAGAGTTCTGAAGGTTTTGAATGGCCTTTGGGTGTCCTTGGGACCTGCCTGCTGATTGTGACGGGGATCAGCATGTTGGCACACACACAGGCTGTGTTCTACCCACAACCATTTTGTCTGATCTCAAAAGTTAAGCAGAGTCAGGTTTGGGTCTTGTCTGGGGTTAGACGAGGATATAGGGGGACCAAAAGGTTTTCTCCAAGGCTGGACAGTGATGAGTGGCAGGGTGTGTGGGACAGTATGGGCAAGTATCTAGTTCACTGGGCCCCTCCAGTGCTTTGGAAGCATCGGAGATGGAAGGCAGCTGTATGGAGTCCCCAGCAACAAGCTGCAAAAACTGCTGAAGGGGACAGTGAATTATTTTGAGCCTGGTGGGCCCATGGCACTTCAGGCCATCAGAGCAGAGATGCAAAAGAGATGGACTCATGATCAAGGGGTGGACTTAGCAATGGACACTATTGCCCAGGTTATTCACAAGTGTGAACACTGCACACAGTCTCTCCTGCTCTGGAAGACTGTTACAAGAGATGGAGCCTGGCATCATGGACCAGATGGATGCAGCAACTTTATAGCTACTGGTCCATGCACTTAGATAAGAGTGATGGCATATTGAAAATGTGGGATCTGAGCATGATGTGAATGGTATGGAATAAGGGGTGGATAATGTCCTGGGTTCAGCAGTAGCAGTCATGTTTCTCCTTGTTGGTAGCTGGTGCAGTGCAGTGTTTTGACTTTCGGCTTGGGAACAGAGCTGATAACAGGGATGTTTTGGTTTGGCCAAGGACTTTGTGAGCCTCACGCTCTGCCGGGGAGGAGGGGAAGCTGGGAGGAAGCAGAGACAGGACACCTGACCCAAACTGACCAAAGAGGTATTCCATACCACAGCACATCATGCCCAGGATGTAACTGGAGAGTTAGCCGAAAGGGCTGGGAGACTGCGGGGTTGGAGGAGGTATCGGTCAGAGCTTGGTCGGGCTGGGGGGGGCGAGTTATCGGTCAGCTGGTGGTGAGATGATGTGTTCTCTTCCCTTGTTATTTCCTTTATCATTATTATCATTGGTGGTAGCAGTAGTGATTTGTGTTATACCTTAGTTACTAAACTGTTCTTATCTCAACCCGTGGGAGTTGCATTCTTTTTGATTCTCCTCTCCGTCCCTCCAAGAGCAGGGGGAGGGCAAGAAAGGGGGGGGAAGTGAGCGAATGAGTTACCTGACTGGGTTTAAACCACGACAAACATCTAATCCAAATCTCCCCTCTTTCATCTTAACGCCATTCCCCCTTGTCCTGTCACTACATGCCTTTGTGGCAAGTGCTGTTCAGAAAAAAAATCTGTGTGCCTTCTCCAGTAATTTGCATTTTTTCAAAAACAAGGTTTAGACAATGGCTAACACTTACATCATCACAGGACATGTTATATTCCGCCAAAACAGTTCGACATCGGGCTGCTATACTGTGTGGATTGTGTCAAGGAAAGCAGCTAACACTGGTACACAGAGCAAGTAAAAACCAAAAAAGCAGTATTGGCACAGGCTTCAATAACAGCAGTAACTGCAACACCTTTAATCTGACAAACACAATTGAAGGATACATTGATGGTGCCACCACTCTTTTATGTATTCCAGCAAAGAATAAGCCTATTAGGGTAATACAACTAATTGTGAAAAACGGATGATTCCAAAGTGATGTGAAAAATGACACCTAGGAAAGAAATCAAATTAGTCCCACTGCATACTTCTAAAACATACAGAAAGTTGCTGCCTAGTTCACTTAATTAAAACAAAACCAAATCATACTGCTCCTAGCTATTTCTGAGTACTTGTGAACCATTCTTTAGACAAGCATTCAAGATGTACATATTGGTAGGCATTACTGTCCCAGGACATATTCCAGAACAATTCTGGAGAGCTCAAGAGCTTAACTGAAAATTATCTCACAGTTTCATGGGAGAACCACCTGTAGCCTTTCAGTTTTCAATACGATACTTGACTGCCACACACTACATTTGGAATTAACCTGATTCTTACCTTTTGTGTCTCTGGGTCTATTAACCAGTTCCAGGCACCAGTCGCTGTGCAGACTGACACCACTATCAGAATCACTGAAAAAGAAAAGAACAAGAGTCATAAATAGCATACCTCCTATGAACAAGTGTTTATTTTTCATCAACAGCTTTTACACATTTCTTTCTTCTCCCTCTTCTGGGAGAGAAAAAGTTTCTAGTTGGAAGGAAGAAATGAAAACAGGCAAAGAAACTTTGATTATGTCAAACCATAAAGATTCTGTACCAGTTTCACAAGTAGGTACCAAAATATAAATTCTGTGAAGTAAAAACATCCAAATGCTTTGGAGAAACAAAAGTTTCTAAAATAACACAATTAGCAAAAATATGAGTTGGAAACTGGAGTAAGAGCTGTACCAAATTTTCAGTATGCTCTTTGAGCTTATGCAGTCTGGGCAATGGAAATGAATCACCATTACATTGCACAGCAGAATTAAAGCATCTATCCCATTAGCTGTTCTACATCAGAACAGCCTGAGGCATTAGCAACAGCAGTTTCAATGGCATATCTGAGTTGTGTTATACTCCCCATCACAATCAACACAATTACAAGCAAAAAAGCCAACACAGAGAAAAAAGATAAACACAAAATTCAAACAGGAGTCAGAAAGCATGATAGCATTAGCACACGAAAATTAACAAAAACCTGTACACATACAGAATAGCTTAGGAAGAATAATCAATTCACTGTAAATGGATAATGCTAGATACGTACTAGAGTAACACAAGATACTAGACTGATTTTGAGAGACTACAAAAGGTTGGGGAGCAGGGGTTGGTGGAAGAAGAAAACAGTACAAATATAAAGGTAGAGATAGCTCCTATTGTATTGTACAGCCATGAAGCCTTGCTGCTTTCATTGGGCATTTGGCAGTTCTGAGTGTTTCCTGTGGAGCCTGAAGTTCTGATGCAAATAAAGTCTTTTATGGGGTGAAGGGGGAAGAAAACAAAAAAGCAGCACAAAAAAAAATTTAAGAGCTAGAGTTTCCAGCCTTTGTGGTCATTGGGAAGAACCTGAAAACAAACCCCAGATATTCATGAAATACTACTTTTAGGTTTGTAAGACTGCTGTAATTTACTACTGAGTTACGTATTCCTTCTGCATATTACAAAATCAGAAACAAAGTTAAAAAAGCAACCCTGACAAGTTATGCTTTCAAAAAAAAAAAAGTTGGAAAAAAAAATCTGTCAAAAGCATACAGCTGCTTCTCTATATAAATACTTTTTTCCTAGGATAATAGGAGGAAAACTTAACATAGAGTTAAATCCCCCATTGTAATGAAAGTAAAACATCCCTATTTTACGTGAATTACAAAACTAGGAAAACAAGCAGTAGGTAAAAAAATTAGCTAGTGAAAACAATACTAGCTATGCAAACTTCATTTAAATATGCTTAGAAGCTCCCAATATTTTTTTGTTTTGTTTTTTAATTATATCTGACAGTAAATAGCAATTCTGGAAGCCAAATGCATTCCCTAAGTAGGTGCACACAAGTTGGGCAGACCTACTTAGAAATATCTGCTTGCCTCCCAGCTGCTCTGAAACAATGGGGTTGAGGGGGGTGTTGGGGTTTGGTTTGTTGTGTTTTGGGGTGGATATTTTGTCGGTTTTGCTTTTTAAGTAGTCATTCCTCCAGTTCCTTCATTTGAAATTAACCTCTTGGACTCTCAGGAAAAAAGATGCTATTTTATATGTTCTAAAAAAGTGTCTGCATTTTTTGAGTATGGAAACTTCGGCAGAATCTCACAACAAAAAAAGCAATCTGTTTTCACCCTGGATTACTGATCCCAAAGTTGGCAGCATACCTGTAGTATTTCTTGCCTTGCCCCTGCCTTCAAACTCCTGTTAGTACAGAGATGAGGACATATTCTGCCCTTATGGCATACTGTTGTAACTTTGTCACCTTCATTTTAGAAGGGAGAGGAATAGAAGGACTATTCCACTCAATCATATTTAGTTCAAGTAACTACAGTGACTATCTGTAGTTCTGAATCTTCAAAACAACAGCAACAAAACCCCCCAAAACAACAAACCTCCAAAACTACAATAACTTACAGTCCCAACTACTTCAAGAATAATTCAGTCTTGAGCCAGGTCAATCTTGACTTCATTTTTCTAACTTGGGCTAAAGTATTAGTTTGTTATCTTGAGATGTTCTTTGTCTATGATTGTCTTGTTGCAGAGTGTTTGAATGTATGCCACAGAAATTTGTTAAGAGTTTAAGCACAGATTTTTGTTTGGGAAAACATAAAGATACACACTGGTACATCTAAAATGCTTTAAAGAGAGAATCCTATTTATTCCTTGGAACATCAGACTTACTTCTCCAACGTCCTGTAGCTGGTTGCAAACATGCAATATATTCGGTAAGTCTTCTTTCAAAAGCTTTGAGATCTGGGGAGGATATATATCAAGCATAATTAGATCTCTATTTATTTAGTGAAATTTTAATGAAAACATAAAAGGAATTCACTTTTCACCTGTGCATACCCACTTTTTAAACAGGCAGAGAAAACCAATGCAATGGTCATTTACATGCAATTAAAGCACAGTCAAAGCAGCTTCGTACATTTAGATGAAAAGTACAAT